CACATCGTGATGTAGACATGTGGGGGCGTGTTAGAACGAGCCGTTTTAGGTAGGTGTGGCTGACTCTGAGCTTTTATAAAGAATATCTCTTTGGATTTGAGACTTTAGTCTTTGCAACTTTACAGATCTTCTTTATGCACCAAGAGCTTGTAACACTCCAAAGAGAAAGGAAAAATTGAAATCGCATCATATGACCCCTTTAAAATTATTTTATTGGGGTTGCAGACTTTTGGACTCCAATGTTTTTATGAGTACATGAAGTATATGTGGGATCTACAGAACAGATTTTTTTGTAGAGTGCAAGGCATGAACGCGAATGGAAGAAAATAGTTTTAAATGAAACTCTAATCGGTATTAAGAGATGTAGGGGCCCGAGAATCATATAGGGCTGTGTGTTTGGAACGCTGTGAAAGTGCAGGCAACCCCTCAGTGCTTATAATGAGAATATTATTCATGCCATATGTTTAGCTGGTTAAGAGGTTTCATTGTGGAGGAACAATCTGGATTCCAGCAGAAGCGTTTCCTGGAGAGGTTCAGTTTATGTCATGGGATCGAGTGACATTACCATGAAAAATTACTTTGGTAGATTACGGATATATGACTTTGTCTCCCACTAAAAGTCTGGGATAATTCATTATCTATTCAAGCGACATCAGGCAATTAAAGAGCTCCGCCCCTTCTGTCAAATATATATCACATGCATCCATGTCCTTGAAGAACAAGTAGTAATTTTAGGGTTTTGGCCTTCTTGCATTGAGATGACGGATGCTATGCTGAGAGGTCTTGCCAATATCAGTTTGAGAACAGTGTCAGTTTGTCTTGTTTAGAAGGTTTCTGCTCCATTAAACTCTTCATTGCAGATTATATTGTAGAATTTGCATACTCAATTATTATGTATTCTATGAACTTGTCAAAATTCATACTAAATAGTTAACAGAGATCACTCAAAGAGCTTTTATTGAAAGCATTCTTGATTATGCCTTTCCCTTGTTTAGGTTGTTTGACGTATGCACAGTTTCCAGGACTGACCGGGAAACCAAACTAACTTTGGTCTTTGAGCATGTGGACCAAGATTTAACCACATATTTGGAGAAAGCACCTGATCCAGGAGTGCCACCTGAAACTATAAAGGTACTATCACACCAGCAAATTCATCTCAGTATTGACAATCAGGCAAAGAAACTAGCCTGATGCCTTCAGCAAATCCTTTTTACTGTTTAATGCACATTGTACATTTTAGTGCCTGTAAAAACGTAAGTAAATGTACGTTTTATAGAACCACATTTTACATAAAAATACATACGAATTATCATGAGATCACGTTGCACATTCAGTGCAAATCCTGGTCTTACTGTGCATGAGTCATAATTGTGTTCATAAATATTGTGTTTTATAATATTTTAATCAAAATAAATATAATAACTTGCTCTCCAGTTAAAGTGACTTTCCTTTTTTGCTGATGTCATGAATTAACTCCTGCATTGCAACCACATTCTATTATATCAACTATTATGGATAAAACAATATCTTTTCTTACATATTACTAGTTGAATCTCTAGTTTTATCCTAAATTTGAGGCCCTGAGCAAAAAAATGAGTGTTTTGGCCTTCTAAGTCGGCAGATGAAGGATGGAGCTCCCTCAGATCACAGAGTCCTGTCCTTTTGATGGGCAGTGCATGTGGTGGATGGGCTTCTAATTAAAGGGCTGTGTGCCTGTGTGCCTGTGTGCCTCTATTTTCATTCAGCTCTGGCTTTCACCAAATATTGGCCAGAGGAATGTTGCTTCAGTGTATGTGTGTGTATGTGCATGCAAAGTGTTTGTGAAAGTGTGTATGTCTGGTTAGTGGCCTCCCTCTCAGCCTTTCACTAGAATGAACCAGTGGACTACAAGGGGCTTCCTTAAGTGGCAATAAGTCATTCAGGCCAGATATCATTTTCATTAGTCTAGAAATAATCCTGGTGTGTGTCCTGTGTCAGTGTCCTCTTACGTTCATCCGGAAAGCTGTGAGCGGAAATGTTGGATTTTTTTTTTGTCCTGATCATCTACTCTCCCGTAATCTATTTTGACTTTTCCCACATGGTAGTCTTACAAATCCATTCATCATATTTCGCTACCTCTCCCCCTAGGACATCTTACATTGAGTCCTGAAACAAACCGTATCTCTCTCTTTGTCACTCGTGCCAAACTGAAAGGGAAACACAAGCTAAGAAACATTTGAAAAGTTAAAAAGTGACACCTTTGCAAGTTTTGTGTATCATTAAGGAAGGATTGTGTATCGAGAGGGACTTTTAAACATAACACAGTCTTGGTTTGAGTCTCTAGTTTGCATGCTAGAGATAGATATGTGTTTTCTTTGCATTTTCCCCACCTAAAATACCTAATTTAAAGGATATTTTAAACTGATCAAAAGTGACAGTGATTGCGCTGTAAAAAAAATCTATTTCAAATAAAGGCTGCATTTTCTATTCTTCCAAGAATCCAATAAAAAAAAAAAAGAGCCTTTCCCAGGAGTGCGATATTCTAGTGATAACAGACCTCCAACCGTTTAACCATTTGTATAATGGCACTTTGTGGTACGACTCGGCTCGGCTCGGTTTGCGTTTCCACTGCGGTTTAGTACCGCGTTAGAGTGGGCGGGATTATTCACATGTCGTTATAGTTGCGCCGCCTCTACTGCCTCATCCTGAAAAACTTTTTCATTCCGCATCGCCCCATCAAGCTCTCTATTGTGGTTAAACATGAGGTATAATTCGTTTTGAGTAAACCTAATGGGCAGTCTTTGGTCTCACTAATCTATTATTTGTTCCAGAGCAAATAGTTTTCGCTGAGGGCAAAATTATATTTATGTAATTTTATTATTTAATAATTAAAATTATTATTATATAAATTGTGTACTTTTAAATGAATTGCCTAGCAACTTTTATGATGGCTTTTGTTGTTTATTAAATATTATTATTCACTAAATAATATTTTATATAAATAATAGTATTTAATAATAGTATTTAGTATTGGGGAACGGTGTGTGTGTAAGGTGCAGCCAACAAATGCTCTCAGCAGCGCTGTCATCGGAAATCACACTTAAATGCAGGGTAGGGGATTTGGTTCAGAAATATTTTTGTTATCCTGATTGAAACTCTCTTCACATCCCGATAGCAATCACTAAGTTAAGTGGTCTACATTTATTTATATGTATTTATATAGTCTGTAGAAGGCATAGGACCATGAAATGTTCATCAAATCAAAATGTTCGGTCCGAACATTACGATAAGCTGTCCTGCCTGCCTGTCAAATATGTATTTGCATACCTCTGCGCACTCTTTTCCAGTGAGAATGAAAGGCGCTATTATTGCAATATTATACACTTTGTACTCTAATGTTTTCTCACCAGTGAATGAGACATGAGGTAATCTGACAGCATGGCATTCAATCCTCCAACGGCGCCTCTCATCGTGTCGCAGGTTAGTCTCTGGTTCTCTGGAGTGCGGGGGGAGGCGTGGCTTTGCAAAGTGATTATACAGGGAGGGTGGGAATCTTGCATTCACGGCTAGCTTGCTATTGCTAGCCTTTCTGAAATTGCCTACCCTACCTTTAACAGATGAAAGAATAGTACGACAAAGATATCGCTTTCCTCAGAGGACATTCAAACTAATGTTTTATTGTGAATATAATATGAGATATAATATGAGATTGAGCTGAAGAATGAATGCTTTATCAGATGCAGATAATCACACTTACTCAGTCCATAATACTCTCTCTCATAATACTCTACATAATGCAGTGAGCTTTTAATACAGTAATACAATAAGATTTCAATGAAGCAACTCAATGTTTCTTCGTTACTACAGTCATGGCCAAAAGTTTTGGCTGTGACAAATTTAGTGTTTTGCAATGTTTGCTGCTTAAGCTGTTGTGGTGTTCATATCACATTGTTTCTAGATTATTGTGTAGAGTGATCAGATGCATTTTAAATAATTGCTAAAAGCTTCATTGGACACAAAATGACCAGCTAACATTAATTGACTAACCATATCAGCAGCACATGTGAAAGTGTGAATGAGTACTAGTCAGGTTAATCACTATCATACTAAATAGATTGTAAAAGCAGACTGATTGCTATAAAAGGAGGGAAGAAGCTCTTCCAATCGTTGTGTTCTTGTTAGCAATGGTTATCTCCAAAGAAACATGTGTAGCCATCATCTCTTTGCATCAAAATGGCCAAGCATCCTGAGACCATCCATGTGTGGGGTTGCTTTTCAACCAAGGGAGTGGGCTCTCTCACAATTCTGCCCAAAAACACTGCCATGAATAAAGAATGGCATCCAAACGTCCTGCAAGAGTGACTTCTTCCAACGATCCATGAGCAATTTGGTGATGATCCGTGCATTTTCCAGCATGATTGCGCACCATGTCACAAAGCAAGAGTGATAAAGAAGTGGCTCGAAGATCATTACATTGAAATTTTGGATCCGTGGCCAGGCAACTCCCCGGATCTCAATCCCATAGAGAACCTGTGGTCAGTCCTCAAAAGGCGAGGGAACAAGCAGAAGTCCACAAATCGTGATTAACTCCGAGAACTAATAAGGCAAGAATGGATCGCCATCAGTCAGGATTTGGCCCAGAAGCTAATATCCAGCATGCCAGAGCAAATTGCAGAGGTTATGTAGAACAAGGGTCAACACTGTAAATATTTACTCATTATTTTTTGCCAATAAAAGCTTTTAAACCTTACGATATGCTTATCATTGTTTTTCAGTATACCATAGAAACATGCGGAAAAATAATCTACAAATACTGAAGCAGCCAACCTTGCAAAACACAAAGTTTATGTCACCACCAAAACTTTTGGCCATAGTTCTAAAGTGATGTTGTCGAATTAGTAATGGAGGCTTGGGCTCAGCTGTTAAACTGTCAACTTGAGATTTGTATCAGTGGCCGAAGAAAGTAGTTCCGCACAAAAGAGGGTTTTGAGATAATGAGACATTGGAGTAATGGCTGCTGAAAATTCAGCTTTGCCTTCACATAAAAAATAGTTTAAAAATATATTAAAATAGAAAAAATATTTTATATTGTAATAATATTTCACAATGTTACTGTTTTCACTGTATTTTTGATCAAATGCAGGCTCTGTGAGCATAAGAGACTTCTTTCAAAAAACATGTTAGTGTATATTTAAAAAAAAAAAATTTTTTATAAATATATTTCTCATTCTTCTAAATTAAATCTAAATGTAAATAAAGGAAATTCTTAGAAATCAAGCCAGAAATTAACAGATGTTTATAATAAATTCTATATATTTATTAAATTACAAGTAGTCATTTATTATGTATTTATATTATACAGTTAGTAGTCTTTTATACTAAATGTATGCATTATACAGGCTTTCAGAGTCTGAATATTTTAACCAAAGAGCTCTTGAATATGCATTAGTGAGATTTAATTCTGTCAGGCCACACAGACATCAGATAACAGACATCAGTTGTAGACAGTGTGGCCCTCCCAAAGATGCCCAGCAACCTTATTCACCACCCTCTTAAGGACACCAGATTGCAGAGGTCCCAGCATCCACCTCATTCCAGCCCCCAAACTGCCCACTTTTGCTCCATTTCAGACCCACTGCATGCTAATTGATGAGAGAGGCCCCGGGAATCAAATGAGCTGGAAGGAGATCAAGCGGCTGGCCCTGCGTTGGGGAGTGCGGCTAGGCTCTCCGGCCCCGCGCCATCCCAAGGCCTGTCTCTGGTCCATAAAGGAGAGCCTAATGAAGCATGGGGAAGGAATTACACTAACGCTAACTGGCAGATGTCCTGCATTGTGCCGGGCTACAATAAACAATATGGCTGCCTCTCATGAATTAGCATGAGAAAGGGGGGTGCCTTCTGAAAGCTCTGTTTTGACTGCTGTTTTTGGGGAGATTTTTTTTCTTCCACTCTTTCCTCCTCTGCTTTATTTTCTCCCTTTTTCCAAGAAGAGGTACTTTAGGACAGGTGCTATCAAATCTTTTCTTTGTTTAGAGTCTGAATGCCTTTCAGCAAAGCCTGGTTATTTCAGGTTGGTACTGTTGGTTTAATTTGAGGCATTGTTTTGATTGTAAATTACGGTGCCTCTGTTGTGTGAATAGCATGTTACAACAAAGAACTGTCTCTGAAGAATCATTCAGATTCCACCTGTTGGGTTACTCCTTTTGAGATTATAATGAGAGATTGTATGACAGGTATATCAAGGTTGATTTTCCACTGAACTAAAGTGCTTTCCAGAGTATCACTTCAGCAGATCACTCATAATTTAAATAATAATAATTTGGTGCACAGGAAACATTTCTTATCAATGTTGTAAACAGTTTTTTGAGGAAAATATTCAGGATTTTCTTTCGGGATTGTTTGATGGATAGAACGTTCAAAAGAACATTTTATTTGAAATAGAAATCTTTTGTAAGTTTGTATTGTAATGTATTTACTGTCACTTTCAACTGATTTATGTTTTTATGATACATCCTTTCTGAATAAAAGTAGTAATTAATTTAAAAACAGTCTTTCTTACCCCAAACTTTTGAATGGTATGTATGTTTATTATATAATATAATATTCAGCTACCAATTCACACATTTAAATGGCACAATCTGCAGATTTTCCTATACAAACAGCACTGAAAATGAGCACAGACTCCATTTGTCATGATAATTAGATACATAACACGTACATAAAAGGTACACAAGCTGCTTAATATGTGTTTGGAGGAGTTGGGAGGAGACGATATGCGTATTTATCCTCGGGTCACGCTTCTGAGGCGGTTGTGTACCTTTCCTTTTCTTTTCATCTTTGTCTAAAGCAAAAGTGGGCCAACCGTGGGCCATTTTAGGCCAAGACAGAGGAGCTGGTAGGGGGTCATGCCGTTTTAGGAGCTCTCAGAATAACTGCCTGTGCCTGAAGATCTGAGAGGTCATGGCTGGGTGGGCATTCAGAAAGGCTCCTTGTTTATCCTGGCTGCCTGACTTTGACACACACGCGTTCCCTAGTGCAGGCCCCCAGCGCGCACATTGTGAGGACCTCCGTCCCTTTCCCCTCGCCTGGTCTGACTCGCGCCGTTTGCAGTTTTCTGCTTGAGTGTGCACCCCATTGTTTCAGTGGTTTTAATCACTCACCAGCTGGTCGGGGAATGAACAGTGCTGCGGGCTCAGATCCATGTCACTTGTGAGGTCTTGGCAGCGGGTTTCTCAGGGGTAGGCTTCCACCGTTTGATACTTCTGCTTTGGAACAAGTCAAGCAGCAACTGTGAGCAAATGCTTCTCGCTCGGCACTCTGACCCGATGACTTTTTCTAGCCCCGTTACGCATTGCCCCATTTTTTTCTTATCTATTTGACCATTATCGACAGTTTCTACTAAAGAAAATGGCAGTTGCTGTCTTTTCTCCCCACCTTCTTTTTGTGTGTGTGTGTGTTTTTTTCTTTCTTTTCTGCTTGTTATTGAGTTTCAGTGTCATGGTCTGATTTCATATTGGCCCATAGTCAGAACGACACAATTCACAATTAGCTGTGATCCCGGGACAGCTGCAGGGAAGCAGAGGCCTACAGGGATGGAGCCTTAAGGTCTTTCCTGCTCTGCCGTCATGTTGGTTATTAACATCTGCCATACTTTAGGTTTAAAGGCACACACACACCTTTTCCCTCCCCACGCATATATAATTTATTTAATACACGAGTTTCACAATTTGAGTTGAATTACTGAAATAAATGAACTTTTCCACGACATTCTAATTTATTGAGATGCACCTGTATATCTTGATATTAGTCCTTTTCAGTCATTTTTAAAAAATCCACTTTAGGTTATTAAAATATATTTGGAATGACTCTGGTCTTGTTTTGGCAGGATATGATGTACCAGCTGCTGCAGGGTCTGGATTTCCTCCACTCTCACCGTGTGGTTCATCGAGATCTTAAGCCTCAAAACATTCTAGTCACCAGTGGAGGACAGATCAAACTGGCTGATTTTGGTCTGGCGCGGATCTACAGCTTTCAGATGGCTCTTACTTCCGTGGTGAGTAACAGGGTTGCGCAAGTGTCTGAAGCACATACATTTACACTGCCTTTCAAGGCTGTATTTATTTGATCAAAAATACAGAAAAAACAGTAATACTGTGAAATATTATTTCAATTTCTAATATTGGTTTCCTATATATTATACTTTAAAATATAATTTATTTCTGTGACGCAGCGCTGAATTTTCATCAGCCATTACTCCAGTTTTCAGTGTCACATGATCCTTCAGAAATCATTCTAATATGCTGATTTATTATCAGTGTTGAAATTGTTGTGCTGCTTAATATTTTTTTTGGAACCTGTGATACTTTTTTCTTTGATTCTTTCATGAATAAAAAGTTAAAAATAACAGCATTTATTCAACAGAACACTTTTCTAACAATATATGTCTTTACTATCACTTTTTATCCATTTAACACATCCTTGCTGAATAAAAGTATTAATTTTTTTTTTTTGAAGAAAAAAAGTACTGAGCCTAAACTTTTGAATAGTAGTGTATATTGTAACATAAAATGTCTATTTTGAATAAACACCGTTCTTTTAAAATGTTTATTTATCAAAGAATCCTGAAAAAAGTATCACAGGTCCCAGAAATATTAAGCAGCATAACTGTTTCCAACATTGATTATAAATCAGCGTATTAGTTTGATTTCTGAAACAATGTGACACTGAAGACTGGAGTAATGATGCTGAAAATTCAGCTTTGCTGCACAGGAATAAATTATATTTTAATGTATATTAAAATAGGAAAACGGTTATCTTACTAATCCCAAACTTTTGAACGGCTGTGTGTATGTATGTATGCATATATATTAGGGATGTGCATCTCCATGACTGAGGCCGATACGATACACATCTCGATGCATAGCCAACGATACGATACATTAAAGATACATATGAAGCAGCTACCGATGCAATGCAATACGATTCACCCCTATTATGATGCAGTGCGATCCGATTTAGAGTCGATTCAACACAATGCGATTCGATGCAATGGAGAAAATATGATCACTTTTAATGCCTCCAGGCCTGTTTCATAAAACAAGTTAACCAAATAAGCCAGGCTTATTTCAGTTGATTGATTGAATGATTTGGTTCCATAAAGCAAATAAAGTCACTGTGGCAACTTATGCTGGGAAACTGACCTGGTCTAAAGCAGGCTAATTGTCAGGCTAAGCTCCTCTAATGACCAATAGGAACATAATGATATTACCACTCACATACTATTATTTTACTTATTTTATTTACAGTTTCTAGCCATGCAGCCTTTCTCTCTGGTTTTATTACAGCTGTACCTTTTATAGTTTGCAGAACAGATAGCAGAACATTACAATCTAAAATTGCTCTTTAAAGCATTAAAAGAACTACATTAAAAGTTAAAATAACTGAATTAAAAATGAAAATAAAGAAAATGACTACATTTTAACTGCTATAAGAAACGCATATTAACTAATTTGAGCTTAGTAAGTACTGTAGCCTACTAGCTTACATTTGATTTACCTATTACAATAGTCCACTTACAATTACTGCTATCATAAAAATACACTTTATATGTAGGTTTAAAATTCTACAAAAGACACATTTAATGTCCAAAAAATATTTTAGCAAAATGTATATTTTACTCTGAATTATTGCGCTCCTATTCGATTGCGCTCTCTGTTTATCGCGCAGCAGCGCTCATTCACTCGCGTCAGCCTTGCCCACCCCTGACAGCAAAATGGATATGTTTGCATGACTTTCTAACATTTAAAGATGAAAAATATACCTGTGACATGTCAGTTATGCACTGAGGAAAACACAAAGTCTCAAATGCATTAAACAGCACAGATATATTCGCTGTTTGTCATGGTGGATCAATTTGATCCATGATCGACATAAGGTCTGCTTAAGAATAAGCGTGCACAAATTAGTGAGATTGTGTGAATGTAATTTGTCGTTAATAGAACCGCTTTAGCCCCGATTGATTTGTTAGGTTATTTCAGGTCAGGTTTTGGACTTTAATCCAGGTTTTTCCTCGGGTCTCCTTGTTGGTGTGATGCGTCATATTCACGCAGCAGTGAAAAATTTAAGGGGGTCTGAATACTTTCTGTACCCACTGTATATATATATAAGTGTGTGTGTACACTACCACTCAAAAGTTTGGGATCAGTAAGACTTGTAAGTCTTTACAAGTCTCATCTTACTGGGATCAGTAAGATGTTTTTTTAAAGAAGTCTCTTATGCTCATCAAGGCTGCATTTATTTGATCAAAAATACAGAAAAAAACTGTAATCTTGCAAAATGTTATTACAATATAAAATAATGGTTTCCATTTTAATATACTTTAAACTATAATGTATTTCTGTGATGCAAAGCTGAATTTCCATCAGCCACTACTCCAGTATAAAGTATCACATGATCCTTAAGAAATCATTCTAATATGCTGATTTATTATTAGAATTATCAATGTTGGCAACAGTTGTGCTGCCAAATATTTTTTTGGGAAACGACAATACTTTTTTCAGGATTCTTTGATGAATAAAAAGTAAAAAAGAACAGCATTTATTCAAAATATAAATCTTTTCTAACAATGTAAACCTTTGCTATCACTTATCAATTTAACACATCCTTGCTGAATAAAAGTTTTAATTTCTTTAAAAAAAAAAGAAAGAATAAAAAATGACTGACCCCAAACTTTTGAACGGTAGTGTATATTGTTAGAAAAGATTTCCATTTAAAATAAATGCTCTTCTTTTTAACTTTTTATTCATCAAAGAATCCTGAAAAAAGTATCGCAGTTTCCCAAAAAATATTAAGCAGCACAACAGTTTCCAGCACTGATAACAAATCAGCATATTAGAATGATTTCTGAAGGATCATGACACTTTAGACTGGAGTAATTATACTGAAAATTCAGCTTTGCGTCACGGGAATAAATTCGTATAAATAATGTATATTAAAATAGAAACCATTATTTTATGTTGTAATAACATTTTGCAAGATTACAGTTTTTTTCTGTATTTTGATCAAATAAATGCAGCCTTGATGAGCATAAGATACTTCTTTAAAAAACATTACAAGACTTACTGATCCAAAACTTTTGAGCAGTAGTGTATGTGTGTGTGTGTGTGTGTGTGTGTATATATGTGTGTATATATATATATATATATATATATATATATATATATACACACACACACACATACTACTACTATTATTAATTATTGTATATATATTTTTACTGAATATGTTTTAATTTATTAAAGGAGTTTTCAGTTATTTTGTAAATAAAACATATTTATTAAAATATTAATTTAAATTGATTCTATTATTATTATTTGTATGAATTTTGTATGTAACCTTTGTACAAAATGCAACTTTTGCACTGTGTGCAAGATCCAATGTGTAGTGTCATTTTTCTCTGCTGTACCATCCCTCTGTACCTTAATTCCCTTAAAATCTAAATCCTGTCGTGTATGCAGGTGAAACGTCTAACATTTCTCTTTGTATCCTGAAGTACAGTACGGTCATTTTCAGTGTATTTGATATCTTAGTAGCTTTAGGAGTGTGACATGCAATCATACGTACAAATAGATCCCTTGAGACAGATATGGGTGATGTCCAATCAGATGTAGCACTGAAAAGACATGTGCCTGAAAACAAGCACATAATGTGTAAAGTGAAACCTGCAGAGGCTGTCCCATGTCTTTGGCCTCAAAAAGTAGGGTTGGGTACCGAAACCCGGTACCAATATGGCACCGGTACCCATATAACCGGTATGTGCTAGAACCGAATCTGAACGCAGATTTCAGTGCCTCATTTCGGTGCCATGCCTGAGCGATCGATTGAAATATTTGTCCTCTGGTTCTCTGAAACGGACGTAAGAAGCATCATCACTGGCACCGTACGTGAAAAATAATCTCGCGACTGAGAAAATGCACGTGAACGGTGAAGTCGGAAAGCTCTAATAATACAAATCCAACACATCTTTGTAGTAACGCGAGTGTCCATGTTTTTTTCACATTCTGACTTAAAAGCACAACTCGGGAAATGAGAGCATCCGAGGAGCGTGTGAATGCAGTAACTGCACTTGCTCTGATGGCAGCAGGTAGCCTTCCGTTTACTAAGCTAAACATGCTTAAATTAAAATGCCTAAAGCTAAACCTCCCTTGTATTCACATTTCTAAACCTGTTGTCCAACAAAAGAGAACATTATAACCTTTTTACTCCACAACACCAGTCAAATGCTTCCTTTTGTGATCTGATGAGGCTTCTTGTCACAGAATGAGGCAGAAAATATGTTCCATAGGCTAATTTAAAAAGAATACATCGATTAGCAATGGATTATAAATATGCTTAATTATTATGAAAATACCAGAGATGGCTTGAATAACACAGATAAACTATATTGTCGCAGTCAAGTGTTTATTGTCTTAGTTTTATCATTCAAAACGTTTATATGTTCTGCTTACTCAGTTACAGCTATAATAGCGATGCCTTTATATCCATATAAGGAATTTCCTGGAGGGTCATGAGTTCCGCTACTTCTGTGACTGGATATGTGGATTTTCTGTGCGAGGGTGCCCTCTGGCGTCCAGTATGAATGAAATGGACATCATGTGTTTATAGTGCTAATGGCCAATCCATTATTTTTGGGGAATTTTTTATTTTTTTAATATAAGTATCGGTTCAGGCACCGTTTAGGCACCAGAACCGTTTTAAAAGTATCGATTTGGCACCGGTATCGAAAAAAACCCAAACGATACCCAACCCTATCACAAAGTGGCCTAAGCTGAGATGAAATAGACTGGGCGATTGAGTCCCATCAATTCCCTCCTGCCAAACTTTGAAGTCACATTCTCTTGAGGATGGCTCTGATGTCAAAAAATAGCACATTGTGTCTTTCCTCTTTTTAGAGAAAGTGCTAGTTAAGTCAGCAGCTATTTTTTTGCATGCATTTTACATGGCTGATTTATTGCATCTTTAAATTTAGTTAAGATGTCAAGATGCGAATATTAA